CCCCAAAACCCCAAAACCCCAAAACCCCAAAACCCCTTTATTCTGATTGACCATTGAAAATTTTGTATACACGGCATTAGATCTTATAATAAAATCATTATGGATTCTTCTTCATCTTTTGTTTGTATCAAAGAATATCTTTGATCCTCTTCATTGTCTTCTTCCACAAGGAGATTATGATGCTATGCTGGCCTTCAAAGCAGGGCTCTTTAACAATCTTGATTCCCTCATCCGACTGGAGCTTCACAACCTTTCTGGCTCTCTTCTTCTTTTGCTTACCTTCATTCAGCCGAAGAACAACTCAGTAGGAGCAAGCTCCGGCGAGCACTGACGTAGGTACTCAAACTTCACTTTCCCTTTCCCTCAGTATTCCTTCGTGCGCTTACTGGTGTGGCTTGGTGCATTATCAAATATCACCACAGTCTTCTTGAGTCATAACCTATTTGGTTTTCCAAGAAATCCAAGAGTTTATCTAGGCATTCTTCAAATTTCTCAGAGTTCATCCTGCCGTGAAACGGGTTTGTAAATGAGTTTTCTCGTGTGGTGATGGAAGAAGTCAGAAACAGAGACTCCTGAAACATCTTATTGTTCAGCCGGTAGTCCACCCCTTTCTCCAACCATGTGTAAGAGGATCAAGTGTCCCTGTTGATGGCACTTTCGTAAAAAAATTGACCACCTATTCTCCTATCTCTTCTTTAGTTCTAACATTAAAACTCCTACTCACACTATTTGCTTTTGGAGCATCTTTTACACCCAACCAAATCGGTTTCATTTGTTCTTGCTTTGTCATATTTACCAATCAAGAGCAGCCTCCACAAGATCACCAGTTGATAAAAGAAGAATGTCTCCCAGACCCACACAAGTTTGGAAGTATTTAATAAGGTGGGTCATCCTGAGGGACTCTTGTAAAGGTATGGGGAAGCCGGCGTTGCAGTGCTACTATCGGCTTTGATGAGTATAGAAACTACAGAAGGCTAAGCATGGTGCTATGAACTCGATGGGCTACTCTAAAAAAAACATATACTACTCCAAAATGATGAAGTTACTAAAACGCAGAGCCTTCATTAGGAATACATGATGCCAGCAATAAGATTTATTATAATGTTATAGTTTTCCAATGGTCTGAGACAATAAAGGGGTTTTGGGGTTTTGGGGTTTTGGGGTTTTGGGGTTTTGGGGTTTTGGGG